CTTGGTCATGAAGCTGAACTTCATAACTATAGCTTGGAATTTTGGCTTCTTAGAATACTCAAGTAGTCATTTCCGAGGAATCAAAGCCAAAATACGACCAAGGAAAAATTACAGGATATGTAGCGTATGTTGCACTGATCATAATTTTACTGAGAATTGCAAAGAAATGCAAGCCAAGTCGTGTTTTGATGATTGAGTGTTGATATTCATAACATTGTACTTAGCAACAAAATTTAGTCGAAAGTATGAAGAAAAAGCAAGCTGTAAGCCACTATAATTATAAGATGGCTTTAATAAAAACATCGGTATTCACACACGCCAATTCCCTATCCACACCATCCCACCATCCATGCCATTCCTTATTTTCTAGTCGGGATCATTTGCGGTCCCTATCGGGGGTCATTTGCGGTCCAGGATCATTTGCGGTCCGGGATCATTTGCAGTCCTGGGATCATTTGCGGACCCGTACAGCACTCCATGAGTTCTCATAGCTCAGTGGATAGAGCACCCGCCTGGTGTTCGGGAGCTCATGGGTTCGATTCCTGTCGGGAACTCAGAATTTTCCTTTGTCCCACGCTCGTGTCATGTTAATTAATTCACCTTCACATTTCATTACCGAGCTTAAAATTCACCATCTTTATTAACTTATCAATTAAGATATTATACCATATCTTTAACCACCTTAACCAAAAAAATACTTCAAAAGTTGTTAAGCTACTTAAAAAACCACAAAGATGACCTTGAGATCTACACAATATATACACAGTATCAAGTATCTCTTTTGTTGAGAATATTATGAATAGAGTAGCTATAGTCCTTTGTAGACTTCTTGAAATGCAACCTCATTCCCAGGCTCTCTCGCCTCTTCCTCCCCTGTTGTTGGGAGAAGTTGCGAGAGGACAAAGGAGAGAGAGCCTGGGAACAAGGTTCCTCAAAATGGGAAGAGAGCCACGAACCGGCTGGTCCAGAGTATTTACATTTGAGGCTTATCGTGGTTACCATTATCTTATATAACCTATGTTTGTTTTAATTCTCCAGAACTAAAAATACAGCTTCATAAAAATAATAATAATAGCCTTAAAATGAATATTTTATGTGACTCAATTAATAGTACCACTGTTATATTTGTAAATTACTGTACTTAAGTTAATTTAAGATTGTAAAATGTACTCGTTAATTCAGTTGTTTTACTGCAAGAGAGTTTTAATAAACTACTTTATATATTTATATGAAACAATATAGGTCCACGTATTAAGTGATTAATAAGGCAAGTGGGACTTTGTAACATACAAAATAATAATCATAACAATTTGGAGAATGTTTCCAATCTTCCCCCTAATCACTTTGCAACCATGACGGAAATGTGATATTCAACATGCAAATGGATGCGAAATGAATTTTTGGGAGGACAAGGCAGATTGCATGTTAGAGACTAGGCATTTACTACACGTGGAGCCCTTTGAGGTATCACTTATGGTCAGTTCCCTCTATGACACAGGCTGGCAGGTATATTCATTAAAACAAATATCCAGTCCAAGGTGATGAATACAACTACCATGAGTCCCTGCAGGTGCATCTCATAGAGGGAATTGGTCATTGGAAGTTACATTGGAAGTGTACTGGAAAACCATATTAACAAAGAAAAAGCTAGCAGTGAGTGAGGAACTTTAAATGCTGCGTATATACACCGTGGGGTCTTGACATTCCCAATAACAAGTGTGACAATGTAAATAAATAAATAATTTTCAATTTGTAAATGCAAAAATTTCATAAAAAATGTTCAAAGGTGCAAAAATGATGAACACTGTAAGGGTGAACATTTCTTGAATATACCATAATCTTAATTATCTACTCCCAGCCTAGGTATTTCAGTTTTGCAAAACAGAAGGATATGTAAATAATTTTGAAAAAAAAAACCCAAATTATTTCTACTGGTAAAACTTTTGGGTTTCATTATAACAGCACATTACATTTCGTTACTTTCATTTAAAACTCTTTTTCCAAATGAGAAAATATTCCTTTGTTATGGTTTAATTTAAACATGTAAATGTTAATTAATGTTTTGGTTTCTCAGTCTCTTCAGTGCACATGTGATATTAATGCAGGGGTTTCATTAAGGGCTGGGCACCAGGCAAATTGACCCGCTGTGTGGATGATTTTGTCCGCCTGGTTTGACCATCTAGAGGAAAGTTACTGTTATAAAGATGTTCAGTTCAAAAAAATTGCCCGCCTGTGAAAACCAGTTGCCTTTCTGCTGAAAACATTAATGAAACCCCTGTAATGGTGCCATCATGGTAGCCTACAAAGCAATCAAGTACCATGATCAATACCAATAATCTACATGCTGTTCAACGGTATATTGTACTGAGATATGAGAGTCCAAAACACTACACAACTAATGTGAGACAGTGGCAGATCTAGAATAGCCCGAGAGAAGGGGAGGGTAAGCCCCCTACCCTCTTGTTAGTGAAACTATGTAAGGTCTGTGGGGCCAAACATTTTTTGGCCAGTCGCCTTAATTTATAGCCCAAAAGGATAGAAAAAAGTTAAGGATCCTCACCTTATAAAGAAGGGTCTGGATCT